TAACCTTGAATCTATGTTTTTCTATATACATGCAAATTTCTATTTCAAGGTTATTTCCTAACTAGCATGGCATGGGGAATACATAATACATAAAAACTAGTAGAAATACATACCTTGTTGTTGCTTGGATTCCTTCAAGACTTTGTGAGCCTAGCACCCTAAATTTTGTACCTCAAATGCTTCACACAACACTACAAACTTGGAATAAGTTGAGAGAATGTCACTTAGCCTCAAAAATCGGTTATGCCCACTTATGATTACACAAGTGCCGATTTTGCATGCTATAGGGTTTCTTTTATAGTGTGTCATAATTAGGAGTTACAAATGTAAACCCTAATTGTCATGACTCTTCATTTCTCATGACCCATGGGTTTGTAACTCCCATGGACTATCCATGGAGCTCCATATGGTTATAACCAAACCCATAAACCATGGATCATTAATCCACCATAAAAGAATTGATGATTGTCATAATCAACCTTATATATTTAATTAGTCTCACTTTGATCACCAAATTAATACTAGATTAATACTTGATCAATACTAATTAAATAACACTATTATTAATTTATTAGAACTTATAATATATTAATAATCATAAGTTCCATATTCTCTCATTTAGTCTATCCAAGTATTGCAATGCCATGCAACCCAAATGGACCATGTCGGGTCGCGTCAAGTTCATACCAAATAAAGTTATGGACTTAGACACTATATCCAACATGTTCAACATGGTAGTTGCTTATGGTGTCCATGGATGACATATGGGTCATTGGTCAACAAGGTAGTTGCTTATGGTGTCCATGGATGAGATATGGATAATATATGGGTCATTGGTCAACATAGTAGTTGCTTATGGTGTCTATGGACGACATATGGGTCATTGGTCAACATGGTAGTTGCTTATGGTGTCCATGGATGAGATATGGGTAATTGGTCAACATGGTAGTTGCTTATGGTGTCCATGGATGACATATGGGTCATTAGTCAACATGGTAGTTGCTTATGGTGTCCATTGATGACATATGGTTCATTGATAAACATTGTAGTTGCTTATGGTGTCCATAAATGAGATATGAATGACATATGGGTCATTGGTCAACATGGTAGTTCCTTATGGTGTCTATGGATGACATATGGTTCATCGGTCAACATGGTAGTCCTTATGGTTTCCATGGATGACATATGGGTCATTGGTCAACATGGTAATGGCTTATGGTGCCCATGGATGAGATATAGATGACATATGGGTCATTGGTGAACATGGTAGTTGATTATGGTGTCCATGGATGACATATGGGTCATTGTTCAACTTGGTAGTTTCTTATGGTGTCTATGGATGACATATGGGTCATTTGTCAACATGGTAGTTGCTTATGGTGACTATGGATGACATATGGGTCGTTGGTCAGCTTGGTAGTTGCTTATGGTGTCCATGGTTGAGATATTGATGACATAGGGGTCATTGGTCAACATGGTAGTTCCTTATGGTGTTTATGGATGACATATGGGTCATTGGTCAACATGGTAGTTCTTTATGGTGTCCATGGATGACATATGAGTCATTGGTCAACATGGTAGTGGCTTGTAGTGTCCATGGATGAGATAGGGATGATATATGGGTCGTTGGTCAACATGGTAGTTCCTTATGGTGTCCATGGATCACATATGGTTCATTGGTCATCATGGTAGTTGCTTATGGTGTCAATGGATGACATATGGGATGCAATATTAATGAACATAATATTATGGTTTTTCCATTAGAAGAAACGAAAGTTATTTTAGTTTAGCTCACAAACGTGTGTCACTTCACACCCGAAGTCGCAGGTTCGAATCCTATTTATGTCAATAATTTTATTTAAATTCGTCTCTATAAATTTCAAGGTTCTAAAATGCTCGCCAAAGTACTCTACGGCTCTAAGGCTTGCACCTGCCACTATGCTTTTTCAAAACGCCGTCTTAACTCGTATATGTATATAAAAGTGAATAATAGTTGAGAATATATAAAAATATTAATTATATAGAAAATTGCCGCCTTAAGTCACGCTTTACAAACGTCGTGACTCGCCAACGCTCGGAAAAGTTTAAGGCTTGACATTATCGCCAAGTTACGCTTTACGTTATTTAGAACATTGATAAATTTAATCAATAATTTTATTGAACTTCATCTTTTTAAATTCAAATTGTTAATTTATTTACAAAAATGCTCGTAGGTATTTACAAAAATACCCTAACCATTTACGTAGTAATCTTTGTTAGTTAAATAGCAGTTCTGTCAATTCACAGTCTACACATTTAGGCGCCTTAATTTGTAGTCAGAGTCATGCCGTCGATTCAGTTTATCGGCGATTGATCATCTAAATTCCATTCCCAACAGTCAAAATTCCAGCACGTTGACCAATAAACCCTAAAATCTTTTTTGCTATATAATTTGAATTACACTCGATACAGTTCAACATAATGGCCGCGAGTATTTCATTTGAAAGAATGCAAACAAGACAACAAGGAACAAGAATTACTGCTTTTCCATCGCAGTTGTTCGAAAAAATAATAACTACAGTTGGAGGAAATTCACCAATAAATGCTTTTAAGTGCCAGTTAGTGTAAGTATGATGTGCATTACTTATATTATACTTATATACATATTTAATTTAGTGGTTAATAGATTAACTTTATTGATTTGTGTGAATTATAGTTGCAAACTCTTTGGGGATTCTTTAACATCAGACATAATATATAAAATCATAGACACAAATCGACTAATGTTTCGTCCATTAAGTATTCAACCGTATGAAGTCATAAGCAAATGCAGAAAGTTGAACAGCCCACACATACTTTTCAACAATGGAATGGTACTCTTTTTTAAGAAATCAGATAGTTGTGAATTCAATTAGTTTTCTATATGTGTATTTTAAAAATTGTATGATTACTTATTGTATATCTGGCGAAGTATTTCATGATAGGGGAAGAAATAGCAGGGAAACAATTGCTTCAAGATGCAAACGATCAGGGGCAGTTGGATGCGATCTTCGTTCTGGGAATGATGTTGATGGCCGAAAAATCTGAATTTTGATTCATTAATATGCGGGGGGTGATCCTCAAGTGTTCAGAATAGCATGCATTGACATGATCGAAGGAATGGGTCCCAAAAATCTGAATGTTGATTCATTTATACGCATATATGCATTGCATAATAACATTGATGCCATGTTCAGCCAATGAATTGTATGTGTAATTTCATTATTATATGTAATCTATACCATTTATGAATATTTTGTTTCATTGATATTATATATTAATATTGTTATTCTGTCAACAGGAAGAGTGCTTCTATTATGGCCATTTTGATTTAGGATTGTCTTTGTTGAGACAAGTAGCAAATGAAGATCATCTTGAGGCAATTTATTTGCTTGGAATGATCTGCATTTCAAGAGGGCCTCATCAATGTGATGAAGGTATGTATATATGGTATATATGTAAATTAAATTATATATATAGTTAATTAAAGTTATGTTTGTAGTTTGGGGTTAGTATTTAGTTATATTGTGTTGTATAATATTTATTGTTGTATTGAAAAGGATACATTGGATTGATTGATGGATATTTTAATGTGTAGGTTTACAATTACTTGATACCTATTTTGGCTGGGTAGTTCCGGATGATGGGGAGTACACGGGTGTTGTTGATAGTGCTAAAGAGTTGTTGCAGGCTGTTGATGTTGTTCATAGACTTACAACGAATAACATCACATTCCAATGTGAAGACCCACAACATTCTGTTAAAGGTGTATTTGCAATAGGCCATGAAGAGGATGAGGATCGACAAAGTTATTGCATGGTTTGTCGTTGGTATTTAGAGTATGGTAGGTTTTGTATATTTCTTAAAAATATTATTGGTTGATAATAGATTGGACATTGAATATTATTGTTCTTATTGTATTGTATATGAAGGTGTATAGTATTACTATAATTTTATTTTGGTTTTGTGTTTACATCATTCTGTTAAAAGGGCATTTTAGTCATTTTTTCTTGCTATGTTGTTTGATTAGGATGAAGTATATGTAAACCCATGTTATTTTTGTGATGAAATATACTTAATGTAATTAAAAATAAGTTTGTAATGAATTCGTTATTAAGGAAAATAATCTACATAGATTATATACTTTAACATACCCGGTTAATGTAATTAAAAATAAGTCTGTAATGAATTTGTTGTTAATTATTCATTATATACTATGTTTTCAAGAAATTATACACAACTTGATTAGCACAACTAGCTTAACCGTGCCCTTTTCTAGCATAAGCTTAAGTTCGAGTCCGCTTGCCAATAATATCTACTTGATAATTCACTTTTACATTTTTAGCCATTAGTTTATGCCACATATTACCAATTCAAAAACATTTCATTCAAACCAGATCTTACAAATTCCATTCATCATAATAATAATTCATCCATAGTATAACAAAATTAATTAAGCATACAACATCTCAATAAATGTCATCACAAATTAGCTACACGTTTTGTTCTATAAAAAAACAAGCAAACGAAATCAGATTTCATAGCAGAGTTCCCTATCAAATACCTACGAATGGTACTTCCATAGTAATTCAAGTATGGAATTGGTTTCCGTCACAAACTCCGTTGCATAGTAACCACGATGATGAATTCCATAACATCAGTACAACGGAAAGTGATTTGGTAACAAATATCGTTGGAAAATTGCTACAGATTTTTGTTCCATGGAACTATCGGTAGCATAATACCAACGGATATGGAGTCGGCAACATTTTCCCTAGCAACTCCCACTCTCGCTAATAGAAATAAAATTCGTAGACAATGTGGTAGCAACATTGCTATGGAACGACATTCCATAGCACTATCCATTACAGATTAACAACGAAAATACGTTCCATAGCGATCTTTCCTAGCAAAATCGTGTTTTTTTTGTAGTGAGGGAACCATTCTTGATGGACTCCCTACCAGAGTTAATTTGGTTAACAAGGGCATTGATTTGACTTTTGAGTTATGCCCTATGTGTTCTTTCTCAGATTTGACTTTTGAGTTATAGTCATGTTTTTCTTATTTGTGAAATGGCTAAAGAAATTTAAAACAAAGTGGTGAAGTGGTTTGATCTTCATTTCCTTCGTTCCTAAATGTCTCCAAATTTGAGTTAGATTGATTGCTCTACATTGAGACCTACGAAACCAATAGTGATTGAAGTAATTATTATCACCATGATTTGGATTATTTGGTCTTACAAGAATAATGTGTTCCGGACACATAACATGAGGAAAAGTCATATTTTTGAAAGTAGCGCATTCATTCTTTCAATTGATTTTTGAATAGATGTAATAAAGTAATCTCTTAGATCTGAGTGGTTGCAAAAGCCTATTCATTATGACTTTTTGTAATCATTTTTTCTTCTACATGTTTGCTAGTCTTTTTTATAAAATGTGGTTGTTAAAAAAATGGTAATATATATATATATATATATATATATATATATATATATATATATATATATATATATATATATATATATATATATATATATATATATTGAATCACATGCCAAATCAAATGATGTACTCTTACAATTTTAAAGTCCTTTGAGTCCCAATTGAGTAGAAATATGCAGGTTTGAAAGTAGAATAGTGGATAGTTGAATTCATTTTTCTAAAAAAATATAATTACAATTTATTTAAGGTGCATAAAAGATATAGTTTCGGCGTCATCTCGTCCCACAGGCCAAGGCGTGGGAAATATTTTAGAAGTAACTAGCAGCGTACCCGCGCAAAGCGGCGGGGTGTGTAAATTTTTTCGGTGATATGTTTCCTCTACAAAAATGTTATGTTACAAAAGAAAGTACATGTCGAAGACAAAATAATCAAACTATGGTGTTATTTGGGAGATGAAGTTATTTTTTATTCCTAGACGGTGGACTTTATAGCAGATGAGGGAACAAAAAGGTATCTGCGATTGGAGGGATATTTAAATTAACATGCTAAATTTAAGGATATCGAAAAGGGTTCAAAATTTGAATGAATCCGGGATTTGAGGGAACCATATCAAATTGCTGAGAAATATAAGGAGATTTGATGATAAATATTTGAATTCAAAATGTGGTTAAAATTTAATATTATTTTATTAATGGCTAGTTGTACTATCAGCTTCATCATTTGGACGTCTTAAAAAAATATTATTATTATAATCAATCTATTGTTAGAAATAGTTAGATTTCTTTTATAAGATAGTAAAGATATTTGACATTTTATTTCGTGGGTGTTTATTTTTGGAGCCTATTTTTTGTGCAAAAGTTATTAAGTTTTTATTAAAAAAAATGATTTTAACATTTAATTGTTTTGTGTTAAATTGGATACTTTGTTTGTCAACCTGTTATAATTTTAACTATTTAACCAATTAATTAAGTTTTCATCTGACATATCAGTTTTGATAATATGATATGTTGACATTACGTAAGAACGTAAGGCTATTTAATGTCATCATATTTTTAGTGTCAAATATTAAAAACAAAAGACCCTAAAATATAATGATTTTGTGGTATTTAATTGAAATATAGCGACTCTTTTGAGGTTTCGAAAATATGATGATTATATGATAGTTATCGGAAATGTAAGAGAAAATAACTTAGGAGGGTAACTACCTCTTATTCGTGTTCACATATTGACAACTTCTTCTTTTTTGTACATAATAAAACAACTTACTTGTTTTAACTTTTTAAATTACACCAATATTACCGGCTAATACATGTTTTAACTGGTAACTCAAAAGAAAAATAACTTATGAGGGTAACTACCTCTTATCCGTGTTCACATATTGACAACTTCTTATTTTTTGTACATAAGAAAGCAACTAACTTGTTTTAATTGTGTAACATCCCAAAAATCATGACCAAAAATTTCATTTTTAATTTAATACTAAAACCATTATTGTCAAACCATTAATTTAATACTCTAGCATCGGGCCTCGCCCGGCATCAGTCCCCGCCTGGCATCGAGCCCCGCTCGGTATACAGATCTGTCTCTCTTAGGCCCCGCCTATCTCTGGGCCCCGCCCGCTAAGCACATACAATCATATAACATGCTAACACATAAAGAAACATACTCTATTGTATCCCTGTTCTAAGAAACATACTCTGCTAATAATGATATACGGAACTTCGTTCGTACTCAGCTAGTTCCAGTCAGGGCTTCAGTAGTGCAAGGTGAGTCTCCTCACTGTGTGATTGGGTCTAAGGCCATAATGTCAACCCATGTAGTATATGAGTAGGAAGACCCGGGGATTAGCCCTAGGCATTGTATGCTAGTATGTTATTCTAGACCAAGGTTTGATGTCGGGTGGGTGCCCGAGGTATGTTTGCATGTTAGATTATACTTGTTGTATATGTGATACTTGTATGTGCTTGGTAAAGAGGTGAGTGTGGGCGAGGTCCCGTATCTGATCACTAGCTGAGTACGGACGATGTTCTGTAGCTTATTATTAGCATAGTATGTTTTCTTAGGACAGGGATACAGTAGAGTATGTTTTTTTTTATGTGTTAGCATGTTATATGAATATGTGATTCCATGTATTTGGATGTTTTTTATATCTAAAAATGAAATTTTACTCTAGATTTTTGGGGCACAATATCATCCAAAAAGTTTAAACATAATTTTTAAGATTAAATATGGTTTATACGTGTATAAGGGAATGCAGTGTGATATATAGTCAAGGGGGAAGCCACCTTATCACCACGGTAAGCCCATGCCCACCTTTAATTTTTTTTCTTTTTGCTTTTAAAAATAATATACCATTTCAGAGCTTATGATATATGCTATTTTTTTCATGTTAAACTTGTATATTATTTCTCATGAAATTTTAAAAATCTAATGAGAAATAATATACAAGTTTAACATGAAAAAAATAGCATATATCATAAGCTCCGAAATGGTATATTATTTTTAAAAGCAAAAAGAAAAAATAATTACAGGTGGGCATGGGCTTACCGTGGTGATAAGGTGACTTCCCCCTTGACTATATACCACACTGCATTCCCTTATACACGTATAAACCATATTTAATCTTAAAAATTATGTTTAAACTTTTTGGATGATGTCAAGCCCCAAAAATCTAGAGAAAAATTTCATTTTTAGATATAAAAAACATCCAAATACCATTTCCTCAAAATATAATCAAAGTAATAAGTTATAGTTTTAAACAAACATCATAGTGAAAGTCATAAAAACATATATTGTGGCAATCATTAATGGATATGAAGCAATAAAGCGTAGTTCTTCACTTTGCTGCAAGAAGTACTTAAAACATTTAAACTTTAAACTATAATCACAAAGCTTAGTAAGCTTCCAAGATACCACATGTCATACATATTCACATACATAACAATACAACCTATTTCAGCAAACGGATTGTTTCAACCGAAAGCTCATATTTGATTCTTCTAGTGATTCTCATGGATAAAGTTTCAAACTTTATCCATTATAAATGCTCAAAATAGTAAGATCTCTAACTCTAACTCTCCAAGAGACCAAAAATATTACAAATACCATGCATGACACTTAAATGAAAATAAAGTCCAAATCTTAACACCACACTGGGTCTAGAAAAATTAAAGATTAAACCTTGAACCATGGAGTTGTCCAAACTCCAACTCAAATTCATCAAAAGGGCCAAAACACCAAATAAGGCACTAAAACTCCAAACACTCATAGATCTAAACATGAAACACAATAAAGTAAGGATCTTTATAACTTACAAGGGTTCAAAAGAGTAGAGATCATAGAGATCCACAAGCTTCAAGCTTATATGTACAACCTTTCGTGATTTCATCACAAAAATACTAAAAGTACACACCAAAATGGATGATATGAGAGAGGAGAGGCTCAAATACTAAAACACGAAACCATTCTTGTATATACGACAAAAACCCAAAATATACGGGCTTGGGATGTATAGCTCACCATGCTATGACGACCTTCCTTACCATGTCTTGGTACGGGTCTTTACTAATTCCATTCCAACTTTAAATAAATATAACTTTTTTGTTTTAAATCTATTTTCAGTGATCTTTATATATACATGTATGTAATAACAACTCTCACAATTCAAGATAATCACATTTGTCTTAATACATACCGAACTCAATTCATTAATTCAAGCAAGAAGTCTAAGTGTCACTTTTGCCCATTTTACACCCTTGGCTCTAAAGCATTATTCAAGGCTTAAATCACTTAACTAACCTTATTAACAACTAATAAGATGAAAAATTTATTCCCTTGAAACCCAAAACCTTTACTAGATGAAATTATGGTCCGCTATCCCCAAATTAGAAAACTCCTAAAATTGGATTTTACAACTCTCCCCCACTTAAACTAGATTTCATCCTCGAAATCTGTCTCAGTTAGAATTCATGAAAATAGTACCGGTACAATCTATATACTCCCTCTAACCACTTTGTAAAACGAAAGTGTTAATAAAGAAAATTCAAGAGACCACTAGGAACCTAACTGATACCAACAAACAACCTAATCACTTGAAAACGTTCAACTACAACAACTACCTTTCTCTCCCTAACCGTAAGACCTAACTCATAGTGAAACCACTCAAATCCGGAAACTCTCAAACTATAACTAAAACCGGCTCCATCCACATACTTCACATGATCAGAAACCCATTAATCCAAAAACCTTATAAATGATACATAACGACTTTCGATCAATCACCTAACATACTCGCCCCTAGTCCCTGACTAGGAACACCACCAACCCATGTTGAAACAAACACTCAAAACACCCTGATGTAAATTTAAATAAATCACATATCCGAAAAATCTCCCAAAGACCTCTATTACACACTCGACTTCCTAACAAGTCATCA